TTATATATTATATATAATTTTATTTTTAAAATTCTTTATATTTAATTTTAAATTTACACTTGACCTTGGAAACTCAATAATATTAACTATTAAATAAATGTATTTTTCTTTCTTGAATAGGTTTTGAATTCGTTTTATGTTAAAATGTTAAAAAAAAATTTTTAAATTAAAAAATAATAACTTTCTAATAAATACAATGTATTGAATTTAAAAAAAAAAAAAATCAATCAATGTCGTCTTTTCTTTTTTTCCTCTAATGGAACCCATGAGCCATACAATACAGGAATGGGTGCCCGTTGCCCTGACCCAACCACGATGTGGTGTTCTAAAACAGTCCGGCAGGGCATGTGCGATCACGTTTACCGTCGGGAACCGACTGCATTCATCAATGAACGGTACAAAGTGCACGCGAGTGTGCAATTTATTCACCGTTGGATTTTCTTACTTCTCGAGACCTTTTTCGCTGTCGTTGACATCATTGTCAACTTTCTGTTAATTTTTGGGTAAATGTCCCTTTCAAATTTCAATACATTAAATTCATAGGTAAATGAAAGGACCATCTTAACCACAAAAAAAAAAATTCTCAACATTTCAAGTTCTAACTTTCTGTTAAAGAGAGTTTAACTGTTCCATTGGAATGTTTTATCGTTAACTGTTTGTGTCAACTTTCAAGTTACTGTGTTATAAGTTTTAAATTACATGTAAATGATTCTAAATCTTTTATATATATATATATATATATATTAGTTACATAATAAATACAATCATTTTTTATCTCGTATTTTATCTTATACCGTAAACTTTTTATTTTCAATAAAATAAAATTATTATTAAATTTTTTAAGTGGTTGACATAAAAGATTTTAAATCTAATTAAAAAAGGTATATATTTTGAAATAAAAGAAGCTTCAATTGTATAATGAATTTATAATCCTAAAAGTTACCATCCTAAAACCTTGTAATAAATGTTCGATGGATTAAATTATTTACACAACAGATGTTAACAAGAGCAAAAATTTTTAAAAGAAAAAAAATATTTCTTTATTACACCTAACACCACCATTAAAAAAGAAAGGTAGTGTTATTGGAATAATTTTTTTATTTCATCTTTTTATATAATTTTTATATGTCATTAAATAAATAAATGTATTTAATATCACGAATTTCACATAAATTAAAAAAATCAAACATTTTAATAATATATCAGATTATACAAAAAAATAAAATAAAAATATTATCCCAATAGCATTCTCAAAAAAGAAAGGGAATTCCAGCTCTACATCCACTTTAACTACTTTACAACAAATTTAAAAAATCTACACATAAATTAAACGTGAAGTCTATTATAAGGTCCCAACATGAACCAACAAGAAATCTAAAACGATGCCGTTTCATCCCGATGTGGTATGAACTGTGGATCTTTGCTTGTGAAGATCTGAGTGAAACAGAAACAGGAGAGAAGCTTCTTGGTTTAGAGTACTTCACAGTTACACCTAAATCTCACTTCTGGAACAAAGATCTTGTTCTTTGTTCTTTCCACATCTCACCTAACCCAGCCATTTCACAATAAAGGCCTACCCAAAACAGAGAAAGGCAAGACGCCATGAAAGTTTGCAGCATTTGCAATTACGATCTCAAATCACTGTCTTCCTCGTCCTTGCATTTCCAACTTCTGTTTTTCTTCCTTTTTCAATTTCATTTCTGCCTCTCTTCTTCCCCAGATGCCATCGTTTTGCCTCTCATGACCCAGAATATCCCGTTCAAGTCCTTACCCAGATCTCCCACTCAGGTCTCATTCCACCATAATGTTACTCTGACTACATCTCTCACGGTCGGCACCCCTCCGCAGAATGTTTCGATGGTCATTGACACCGGCAGCGAGCTCTCTTGGCTCAACTGCAACTCCAGCTACACCACCACCGGAAACATTTCCGGGCCGTTCACATTTGACAAAACACGGTCTTCCTCCTATTACCCAATCCCCTGTTCTTCGCCGACGTGCACCATCAAGACCAAAGATTTTCACATTCCGGCTTCCTGCGACACCAATCAGCATTGCCACGCCATTCTTTCCTACGCTGACTCGTCGTCCTCCGAGGGAAATCTCGCGTCTGAAACGTTTCATATCGGGAGCTCTGACATCTCGGGTATGGTATTCGGGTGCATGGACTCTGTCTTCAGCTCCAACACAGAGGAAGACTCTAAAACAACCGGGTTAATGGGTATGAACCGCGGGTCACTCTCTTTCGTCTCCCAAATGGGTTTTCCCAAATTCTCCTACTGCATCTCGGGATACGATTTATCGGGCTTCCTATTACTCGGCGAGGCCAATTTCTCTTGGCTCGCACCGCTGAACTACACGCCGTTGGTCCAAATATCGCAACCTTTGCCGTACTTCGATCGGGTCGCTTACACCGTCCAGCTCGAAGGAATCAAAGTCTCTGGAAAACTACTGTCAATACCGAAATCGGTTCTCGTCCCGGATCACACCGGGGCGGGTCAGACAATGTTGGATTCAGGTACTCAGTTCACGTTCCTCCTCGGACCCGTTTACAATGCTCTGCGAGCCGAATTCTTGAACCAAACAAGTCGGGTTTTGAGGGTTTTGGATGATCCGAATTTTGTATTCCAAGGTGTGATGGATTTGTGTTTCCGGATCCCACTGGGTCAACCCGATTTACCGCCACTACCCTCAGTGACTCTGGTTTTTGAAGGTGCGGAAATGACGGTATCGGGCGATCGAGCTCTATATCGGGTACCCGGGGAAATCAGGGAGAGTGATTCGGTGTGGTGCATGAGTTTCGGGAACTCTGATCTGTTAGGCATGGAGGCGTACGTGATTGGCAATCATCATCAACAAAACAAGTGGATGGAGTTTGATCTTGAGAGATCTCGGATTGGGTTGGCTGATGTGCGGTGTGATTGGGCAAGGCAGAAACTCGGTGTGGGTGTGTAGGAAACACCAGATCAAAATCCCCCAGAAGAACCGTGCATTTTTATTCCGGACATTGACGGCACGTGAGACAGTAATACCATGATAATGTTTTTCTCTGGTGCATGAGCAGCATGATGTTCAGACTGTTTGATAGTGTAATCATAGAGGTCTGGTGACGCACTCTTGATGAGCAGAGATGTGGTGGCCCACTTCATCAGACGGCAATATGTTGAGATGGCGAGAAGATTCTTTTACGTAGCAATATATTTGATTTTTCCTCTTTCTTTTTCAATTCTTCAAATGTAGTAGAAGGTTTTTTTGAAACGAGATCAGACCTTCAGAATTAAATATTTTTCCCAATAATATTTTTTTCTCATTATATATATAAAGAAAATTAAAAGCGTTTTCACATTAAAATATTAAAATTTTTAGTAATAATTATATAATAAATTTAATAAAATTATAACTCGTGTTTTCTTTCACATTTTTAATAAGTATAATTAAATATTCTTTGATTTTTTTATTTTTGCTTATATATATAAATATTAGTGTTTATGAATCAAAATTGAAAAAATTAGGTAAAAAAATATTTAAAATTATATCACTTTAGTAAAATACCATAAAAAAGATTAAAACAATTTTATTCTTACTTTAAAAACTTAAATATTTTAATTATTTTTTATAAAATTTTATTAAAATAATATAATTATCACATTTTTTTTCTTAATATTTTAGAGGTACAATTAATAATTTTTTTTTCATATATATTAATATATAATTTTTTTCAACATAACTCATGTGGTTAATAAGCCGCCCCCCCCCTTTTTTTTTTTTTTGATAAATAGCATAGAATCAAAGGAATTCATTGATAATAAATAATTGCCAAGAGAATATTACGATCATTTGTAGTAGTAAATTAATTTTGACATAAAAAAATATTATTCAGAAATCAGAATTATAAATTGTTTGACCAAGAAATTAAATGGACAACCTAATTGACTCCATTGGTAGGTCCAATTTAAAACCAGTCGCTAAGTTATAGTCTTATAGATTTGATTAATGACGAATACCAAACCCACCCTTCCTAGGTGGCCTAGGCTTCTATCAAATAGATATGAAACATTTACCTTATTAATTAAACTCCATCAAGCAGTTCGATAGGCCGTATATTTAATTGAGGGAGTTGAGATATTCATTAAATTTGATGATCGAATCTTTAATTATTAATAATTAATAAAACTAACTTATTAATTATTGTTCTTGTCAAAAAAAATTTTTTTACCTTATCAAGTGTGAAAATGTAAGTACGGAAGAGAGGCTACCTTTGAGGCCATGAAATAATTGAATATAATTATGAGTATTAATTTCTTTAAATAATAAATATGTATTTTTAAAATAAATTTTTAAAAATAATTTTAAAATATTTAAAAGTAGACACACAAACACTATAACCGTCTAAAAATATTACAAGTATTAATTAAGCTCAATGAAATTTTTTTGAATAAAATGTAAA